AATTACATATATGTGTGTGTGTGTATATACAGTGTGTGTATATATATACACATATACATATATATCAAAATAGGAAAACCAATTTTATTTCTGTATACCAGCAAGAGTTAGAAAATAAAAAAAATTTAAAACAATATCATTTATGGTAGCATAAAAATTCAAATGTCTGGGAAAAATTTAATGAAAGATGTCCACAACACTTTAAATATTATTTAGAGAAATGAGAGACGAGGTAAACAAACGGAAGTATATACCGTGTGAACTGATTAGATGACCCAGTATTTTAAAGATGTCAGTTCTCCCCTGAATTGACTTATGAACTCAACGCAACCCCGGGCGCGGTGGCTCACGCCTGTAATCCCAGCACTTTGGGAGGCCGAGGCGGGCAGATCACGAGGTCAGGAGATCGAGACCATTCTGGCTAACACGGTGAAACCCTGTCTCTACTGAAAAAAAAAAAAAAAATACAAAAAATTAGCCGGGCATGGTGGTGGGCGCCTGTAGTCCCAGCTACTCGGGAGGCTGAGGCAGGAGAATGGCACGAACCCGGGAGGCGGAGCTTGCAGTGAGCCGAGATCGCGCCACTGCACTCCGGCCTGGGCGACAGAGCAAGACTCTGTCTCAAAACAAACAAACAAAATGCAATCCCAATCAAAATCACAATAGGCTTCCTATATACATATACATAGATATATACATAGATATATACACACATACATATATACGTATATATACACATATACATGTACATACATATATATACACACACACATATACATAGAGTAAAGTTGCATGGTTAGGTGGTAAAAGCAGTGTTTGCCATAAAAATCAGGTCGTTGGTTATTTTGACGAGAAGGGAGCGGTAGTGCTTGGGAAGGGACACAAGGGAAGGTTTTGGGACGGCCGTTATACCGGTTGTCAATGTATGGCCTCACACCTCCAAAGTCATCCTTTAACGTCTGCTCTGTGGTCACAGCCAGAATCCCCTTCCGCGGCTCCCTTCGCGGCGGGGAAGATGCTGAACAGTAGAGGGCGCTGGAGACTCGCTGCGGGAGGCTGGCGCTCGGGTCCTGCTGCGGGCCCCAGGCCACCGATCGCGCTCTGCCCGCGCCCCACACCCGCACGCGCGGCCGCTCCGCCACCTCGCGGCCCGACCTGACCTGTCAGTCACGTCCCCACGGCTCTCCTAGCGGGGACCCCACCGTGTCCAGGCTCCGTCCCCACAGTGCCCAGACCCCTGAAAGTTTGCCAGTCAGCACCCTGATGCCAGCCGATTCTCAAAAAAAAGCCAGGGGGATCCAAGCAGATCATTTGCCAGACGGTACTGCAGCAATGGAGATGAACAGATAATTCACACAGAAAGAAGGATGGGAGGGAGAGACGTCTGAGGGGTAGGGAGGGCGGAAGGAAGGTCTAAGGGAAGGAGCGGAGTGGGGAGGGAGGAAGGCGGGCAGGAATGGAATGAAAGAAGGGAGGAAGGACTCATTGAATGCACAGCCTCCCCGGTGCTGCACCGGCAGGAGCGGCTCTCACAGGCACGGGGACCCAACAGACCCTCCCAGGCTGCGGGAATGTTGTGGCCCTGCAGGGCGTCTCTGTCTTTCTTTTTTGAGGTCTCTGGCAATATGTGATAACGATACCATTTTTAGACATCTGGAATCTGATTTAAATTCTAGTTCCATCACCTTCTAGCTGTGGGGCCCTGAGAAACAGCACATCCTCCAGGATCCTCCCTTCTGTCTTGTCCACACGTGGGGAAGGCTACTTGGGCCGGGGGGTGGGGGTGGGGGCGCGGGGTCGGGGCGGCTTTGCAGATTTACCAAGCTGATGTACGAAGACCTACTACAGCTGTAAGGGCTAGCTCCTTTCTCCCACTCTGGCAGTCACTCCACTTTGAGAAACATACCTCTTGAAATAAAGCTACAAGTGGAGAGGGGCAGGTGATTTGGGCAAATAATTCCATACTAAATATTAGGACAAAACATACTAGGCAAATACCACAATCCGGCTTCACAGTGGCATACTAAATTCAACCAAGAAATATACCCATGATGTTGAAAGAACCAGGCTTATGGAATGTAAACAACAAACTATTTTATTCTTGTTTTCTATTTACCAATTCAAACTTGCTCTGCAGGTCACTCCTCCCCGCCCCTGGGATAAAATCTAGGGCATGTTCTGTGACTTTGTGGATCACAAAATTCATATGATTTTTGGATCATTCTTAGTTAACCAAAAATTTCTCCTGTAGCTTCTAGCTATAAAAACAGGCTCTGTTCAGCATTTAAAATGTCCAATCCCGTGTAGGAGTCTAAACTTCAGATTTCATTTTAAGTTTAAGCTTCCTCTTGATTCCTCCCCCAAGCCTGGCCCAGGCTTGCATTTGGCTCTGGGCGTTGGGCGGTAGCAGTGTTTCCTCTTCATTTTTCACTTTCACTCCTCCCTCACCAACTAGCTTGCAGGGATTTCTGATCACTTAGTAGAGTCTAGAGGCATAAGGGAAGGAGGTCACCAAGGGGCAGGCCAGGCTTTATGTGAATAGTCCCCCTGTTCACAGTAGAGGTCCCCTTCTACTGCAGACATCTTCCCTATGGTTCCTGTGACCCAGGTTTGTCTCAGAGTGGGGTTAGCACACAGTACCATCTCCATCCCCTTTAAAGGTGTTTATTACATTTTTCTGGAAATGGAGGTCTGGAAATTATATTTCCTGGACAGTCTTACGAGCAAGGTTCCAGGTTGATTCTGCCAAATGGGAGGCACTCAGGTGAGACTAGAAAGCAGAAAGATGGTTTAAAAATCATTGTTTTCTTCCTTTGACTCTGAACTTAGGAAAACAGGATGCTTGAGACTCCTGCAGTAATTTGGGCAAAGATTTCCACAGTGCAAAATAGACAAAACATAATGCAAATAGCTGTACAAATGACAGTCCATCGTCATCATGGAATGTCAGTTTGGCAACAATGGCATTGAGGCCCAAAAGCAGCTGTGCAGCAGGGGGTTCCTCCTGGGTGACTGGATGGGCACAGCCAAGCACAGGCTCCTGAAGATCCCAGCTCTAGGAAATATCAGCATGGTTCATTGCATCGTCCACCCGAATTCTTCACCCCTCCCTGTGGCTGTGTCCATTGCCCTGTAGCGCTGCAGTTCCCTTCAGGAAAAAGGCATCATTTATTTCTCCGCCCCTTGATTTGGAGCTTGGCTATGTGACTTGCTTTGTCCAATGGGATATTGGATGACACAACATAAGCAGAGACACAGATGCGCGTCTGCACAATGCAGCTTGCCTTTTTATGCTTCTGCCTTCACCGTGAAAAGAGCTTTCCCCGGGGGTAGCAGCTGTCCCTGCAGCCTGTGTTCAGAATGCACAAATGTGAGGAGCCAAGCCCAGCCAGACCCACAGCTTGAAAGTGAGTTGCCAGGCCCGGCGCAGTGGTTCACACCTGTAATCCCAGCACTTTGGGAGGCCAAGGCAGGCAGATCACCTGAGGTCTGGAGTTCGAGACCAGCCTGACCAACAAGGAGAAATCCCGTCTCTACTAAAAAGTACAAAATTAGGCCCCGCGCATTGGCTCACGCCTGTAATCTCAGCACTTTCGGAGGCTGAGGCAGGCAGATCACCTGAGGTCGGGAGTTCGAGACCAGCCTGGCCAACATAGAGAAACCCCGTTTCTACTAAAAATACAAAAGTAGCCGAGCGTGGTGACACATGCCTGTAATCCCAGCTACTTGGGAGGCTGAGGCAGGAGAATCACTTGAACCCAGGAGGCAGAGGTTGCAGTGAGCCAAGATCGCGCCATTGCACTCCAGCCTAGGCAACAAGAGTAAAACTCTATCTCAAGAAAGAAAGGAAAGAAAGGAAAGAAAGACAAAATTAGCCGGGCGTGGTAGCACAGGCCTGTAGTCCCAGCTACTTGGGAGGCTGAGGCAGGAGCATCACTTGAACCTGGGAGGCAGAGGTTGCAGTGAGCTGAGATTGTGCCATTGCACTCCAGCCTGGGCAACAAGAGTGAAACTCTGTCTACCAAAAAAAAAAAAAAAAAGTGAGTTACCTACCCTAGATCAGACCACCTCCAGTCAACCCACAGATGTGTTAGAAATGAGTGCTCATTTAAGTATGGCATTGACATGTTGTGATTAGTTGTTATGCACCATTATAGCAAAAAATAGTACACTGATACAAGTAACTGTTCCCTTGTTGGCTTCACCAGCCTTCCCAAGAATTGTTTAATCCCATTCCCTGTATACAATCACTCTCCGCCGAGAATCCTTTCTCTGAGAAAAGAGTTCTGAGAAAAGAATTTTTTTTTCTGCTTGAGGCAGACCAACGCTCATGCCAAGAACAACTGGAAAAGCTGAATAAAACACAGAAAATCTTTTTAAAGCGTTTTTGGAAAGCTTCGCAGTTAACAAGAATTTGAAGGGCCACAATCTCAAAAGAAGGAAAACACAAGGAGGTGACTTGGCCCTCTGTGAACTACTTTTCCCTTCAGGAAACGTGTTGATTTTAGCTAAGAGGCCAAGCATTTGGGCAGATGGCCATAGCTAAGAGGCAGCAAAGGCAGCAGAGTCCAGTGCTAGAGAGACAAGAAATGGAGACTGAGGTTGTCAATGCAGCTAGAACTGGAGGGGCCAAGATACCATATAGAAGGGAGACACAGAAAAGGAACACTCCCCTTGAGGCATCTGCTGAGTTAAGCTATGCAGAAAGGCTATGAAAGGTAGCAGGTTTTGGCAGTGGCATATTAATGAGATAAAAATTGGAGTTCAGGACCCACCAAGGAAAAGAAGCCTAATAATCACATCAGACACTCAGCTGGAATCTTTGGAAGACCACACTCTAGATAGACGGGCAAACCAGAGGTGGAGATGGAGCCTTCCAAAAACCGCGATGTAGACTCTAGTCCGTTCAGTACCATCGGATTAAGGTAAAATCTTCCCACTCCGTCTATCATATGACATGGTAAACCCTCCCTGGAGAAAGACACTGTTTTCAGATAATGTTTCCTGGAGCCACTAAAATTTATTATACTGGTTAGCATTCAACAATAAATGATCAATCACACAACAAAACAGAAACGAGGGGAAAACATACACAACAGAATGGAGCCACTAATGACCCAGATATTGGTGTTATCAGACACAGACTTGATGGATGGAATAGAGATTTTCATCAAAGAACTGGAATCTATAAGAAAGAATGAAATGGAAATTTAAAACTTAAAAATACAATAATTGAAATTAACTACTTAGCATATGGGTTAACTACAGTTAGACTTAGCAGAAGGAACATTCTTTGAACTGTAATATAGGACAGAATAAAAACTCTAAGCTGAAGAACAGAGACAAAGAGTATGGAAAATACAGCAAAGAACATAAGATACTTGTGGGAAGAGGCGAACAGATCTAACATATATGTAATTGGAGTCTTAGAAAAAGAAGGGGGGAAGATGGGGCAGAAGTAACAGTTAAATAAATATAGGCTGAGAATTTTCCAAAACTGATAAAGCTTTATGATCCCCAAGCAGGATAAATAAAAACAAAACTGCATCCAGCCACACTATGCTTTTTTTTTTTTTTTTTTTTGAGGAGGAGTCTTTCTTTGTTGCCCAGGCTGGAGTACGGTGGTGCGCCATCTCAGCTCACTGCAACCTCTGCCTCCCCAAGTTCAAGCGATTCTCCTGCCTCAGTCTCCCAAGTAGCTGGGATTACAAGCACGCACCACCATGCGTGGCTAATTTTTGGATTTTTTAGTAGAGACAGGGTTTCACCATGTTGGCCAGGTTGGTCTCGAACTCCTGACCTCAGGTGTTCCACTGGCCTCGGCCTCCCAAAGTGCTGGGATTATAGGTGTGAGCCACTGCACCCGGCCCAGGCACACTATACTTAAATTGCTGAAAACGAAAGACAAGGAGAAAACATTAAAAGCAGTTAGAGGTGGGTAGGAGGGACACATTTCTTCTTTCTTTTTTTCTTTTCCCCTCCCTCCCTTTCTCTTTTTCCTTCCTCCCTCCCTCCCTCCTTTCTTTTTCTTCTATAGAGCGGGATGGGGGTCTTGCTCTGTTGCCTGGGCTGGTTTTGAACTCCTGGGCTCAAGGGTGCTGGGATGACAGGCGTGAGCCAGGGCACATTACTGACACATTACTCTCAAAGGAGAAACAATAGCACTGAAAATCACTTGTCAACAGAAATGATAGAAGTGAGAAGATAATGGAGTGCCGTTCTGAAGTTCCTGAAAGAAAAAAGTGTCAACGTGTAATCCTATATTCACAAAATATCCTTAAAAATGAATCGGAAATAGATATTTCTATTCAAAAACTGAGAAAGGCAGGGTGAGGTGGCCTGTAATCCCAGCCCTTTGGGAGGTCAAATCAGGCAGATTGTTTGAGCTCAGGAGTTTGAGACCAGCCTGAGCAACATGGTGAAATCCCTGCACTACAAAAAGTACAAAAAAAATTAGCCAGGTGTGGTGGTGCCTGCCTGTAGTCCCAGCTACTCGGGAGACTGAGGTGGGAGGACTGCTTGAACCTAGGAGGTTGAGGCTACAGTGAGTCGTGATCACACCACTGCACTCCAGCCTGGGCGACAGAGTGAGACCCTGTCTCAAAAACAAGCAAACAAAAAAACCTGAGAAAACTTGCTGCCAGCAGATGTGCATACACAAAAAATACTAAAGGGAATTCTTCAGGTAGAAGAAAACTGATCTATGATAGACTCACAGAAATGCAGGAAATAATAAACAGAGTGAATATGTGGGTGAATACAAATAAATATTGACTGCACATAGCAATAATAATAATGTCTCATTAGGTGTAAAATATATGTGGAATTAAAATGAGTAATAATAATACACATGCAAGAGTAGAATGGAGGTAAATACAGATTAAGTATTGTGAGGTCATAGTTTTGTCTGGGAAACAATAAAAAGTAAAATTTGTATTAGATTATTATAATGTACAGAAGTTGTAATCTGTGGAGGAAACCACTAAAGAAATTGTAAAAGAATGTGTAAGTAGCAACCAGTGGTAAGGGGGAAGTGGAATTTTTAAAAAAATCTGAAAGAAAGCAATACAAAAGAAAAAAATAAAAACAAAAATGGGTAAGACAAATGGAAACAAATAGATGGGATTTATGAACACAGCTATATCAGTAATTACAATAAATGTAAATTCACAAAATCCACAATAGACAAAAATTGACAGACTTGATTAAAACAACTGTATTCAAGAGACATGATATCATTATAAGAACATTAAAAATTCAAAAATAAGGGGAAAAGTGAAAAAAATACCATTGTGAGTGGTAGAAAAAGCCATTTCACATAATAAAGGGTTCACTCTACCAGAAAATGTCAATTTTAAATGGGTATGAGCCTAATAACACGGCCTCCAAATGCATAAAACAAAAATTAACAAAACTCAAAGGAGAAATAAACAAATTCATAATAATAGTGGCAGGCTTTAACGTCTCTCAGTAATTTACAGGAAAACAGACAAAAATGTCAGTAAAGATGTAGATAATTTGACCAACCTGATTAACAAACTTGGCCCAGTTGAAATACGCGTAACACCTGCACACCACTGCAGAATTGCACATTCTTTCAAGTGCAGGAACATTATGATAAGAATATTATAGGAAAGTCTGTCATAAACATAGCTGCAAAAATCCTGAGAAATATAACAGCAAGTTAATCTAAATTTTATGTATTTATTTATTTACTTATTTTATTTTTGGAGACAGAGTCTCGCTTTGTTATCCAGGCTGGAGTGCGGTGGCATGAACATGACTCGCTTCAGCCTTAACCTCCTGGGCTTAAGCAATACTCCTGCCCCAGCCCTCCAAGTAGCTGGGACAGCAGGCGTGTGACACCACACCTGGCTAATTTTTGTGGTTTTTGTAGAGACCGAGTTTCACCACGTTGGTCTCAAATTCCTGAGCTCGGGTAATTTACTTGCCTTGGCCTTCCAAAATGCTGGGATAATAGATGTGAGCCACTGTGCCCAACTTAAACCTAAATTTTATTTTATTTTATGGCCATGTTCCCTCTAATAAATCTAAATTTAAAATAAATAAGTCCAACTATTATTGTGTTTATGTGTATAAAACTGCATATACACACAAACGCATACATACCCTGCTGGTTTCTATTACAAGAATGTACGTTTGGTTTGACATTCAACAGTCAATTAGTATAAGTCATCACATCCAAAGAATAAAGGAGAAAAATAAAATTATTTCAAAAGGTGCAAAATAAGTATTTGAGAGAAATTTAACCTCATTTGTGATTTTTTAAAAAAATCTTTTTAACAGCTTGAGAATATATGTTCATAAGTATATTAAAAATCCTATAGCAACTATCAAACTTCATGGTGAATATTGACAACTCTCCCCATGCCCCACCCAGCACCCCTGAGATTGAGGATGAGACAAGAATAATATCCACTATCACTACTTATAGTCAGCATTTGCTGGAGGTCCTAGCCACTGCAATTTGTATACCAATTTTAAATCTTGCAACCTTGCTGAATTTATCAGCTCTAGTTTTTTGTGTGTGGATTCCTTAAGATTTTCCATAGACAAGATTATGTCATGTGCAGATATCGTTTTACTTCTTCCTTTATGATCCGGATCCCTTTTATTTCTTTTTGTTGTCCGATTGCTCAGCCACTGCAGTTTGGCAAGAGATAAATAAGGCATACAGATTAAGAAAGGAAGAAATAAAACTGTCATTCACAGATGACATGATTATACAAAAATAATCTGCAAATTATTATAATTTAAATGAATTACGCAAGGCCACTCACTGGATAACAAGGTCAACATAGTTTTGTAGCAACAGAATCTGTATATACTAGCCATAAACAAATATAAAATGCCTAAGAATAGATGTATTGAAGGATGTGCAAGAACACTTTACTGAAAACCACAAAAATAGTTCTAAGAAATATACAAAAGACTTAAAGAAGTGAAGAGATATACCATGTTAGTGAATAGGAAGACTGAAGATTTTAACCATGTCAAATGGCCCCCAAACTGTTCTACATAATCAATTAAATCCAATCAAATTCTAGCACTTTATTTTGTGGAAATTAACTAGCTGATTCTAGAGTGTTTTATGAAACTGTAAAGGGCTTCTTTCTTCTGGAGTTGCCTTGTGGACAGGATTTGAAACAACCCAGGCCAGGTCTCTCTGGTCCACGGGAAGCACGCATATGCTTTTTGCTCTGACTACGTCTGTAGAGAACAGCCCAAACAACAACCTCCTCCCCCTCAGAGCAGGGAGCCTGCCAGTCTCTTGCCATTTAGATTTTTCAGGGATGAGTCAGAGATACCAGTCTACTCTGTCCTGCAGAAAAGGATACTTATCAACTTTTCCAAGTGGGCCCTAGAAAAGTCACTGCTAGTCAGAAATCTCAACTTGGAATGTGGGGGTGGCTGGCATCTATTGGGATGTCAGATGAAAC